TGGAATATTAATCATTATTATACATAACCCAATATATGTACGTCTTAAGTAGATAAATAGCTAGAAAAGTTAAAGAAGTTCAAGATAAAATTTTAATTATGCATACGTTTACCATTTTTTAAAACCATTTTGTTTTTAATTATTCATAAGTTTCATTTTTGAAAACTATGTTTTACAAAACAGCTATAGCTACCAGCATTGTCTTTCATTCTATTTGAAGCTATTTCCAATCCATTACGTTTGATTTCTATGTGATTACGCAGAGCTTTCTGCATTGCGTCACACTACGGTATATTGGCGTCTCGTGAGCGCAACTTGAAAGCTTAAAGCTCGTTTTTGCATTTACACTTTATAATAAAGATAATATTTTAATGTAACAACTACACTAAGAAATCACAAATCCTCTCGTGAGGCATGAGGCGAACAAGTCCCTGTGTCCGTTTCTCACATCGGTTTAATATATGCTTTGCTCTGCTTGGCTGAGCTAAGAACCAAATACCAAATACTAAAAACAAATACTGAGCTATTGTTTCACCAGAATTTGAACTCAGGACATCTCGCGCATAACGCAATGCTAAGCAAGACGCTTGACTTACTTACTTTGAAATTAAATTAATTTAAGATGTTATAATTTCATCAGGTATAATTTTGGTTAAGATCAAAAACGTATATAAAATTCCGATTAAAGACATTTATTACTTCACTTGTTTTTTAATACAAATTTTAGTAATTATTTAACAAAAAAACAATATTCTTCGCCTTGTTTTTACTTACTGATTTATTTTGTCAAGTATATCAAAGGTAATTAAAAACAAACTTTAACACAACCTTCATTTCTGCTCTTATTTTAACACCCAATGACACTTCTAAAAAATATTGAAATATATTCATTAAAAGGTTTAAATAATGCAGGACCGTTGGATGCTGCGAATTAAGTGAACAAAAGATACATTTACCGAGTAAATATTACTCGAAATATGAGGAACGACATTAATCTTCATCGTATGTCATGAGCATGACTCGGCAATCGAGGGTTTATTGGTTTAGTATGAAAGCAACAAGTATATGTTTGCACTTAAGGTGTTTTGTACTGCGAATACACATAAGTACATAATATATTGAAGAAGCCCAACAATTTATAAATGAATCATGTACTTTAACAATTTCAGTTACTAATGGTTCAATTATATCATGGGTTCAATTCCCACTAGAACAATTTAATTTAGAACCCTAAAAAATTTGAATATCGACTAAAAATCTAAATATTAAATGAATGGTGGAAATATCGGCATTCCGTCCGATGACAGTGAAGACAGTCGCGAAGTTTAACCGCGTTACGATCTCAGTTTAAAATTTTCGATTAACCCGAAATAGGCCGACAGCGCATCTTGTGATGTTTTATGGCTGGGCTAATTTATCTCCCATCAAGTGACCTTGTTGTTTGTCTGTCTTCCTCCGTCTAGTTCTTGGTATCTACTGCAAATATAAATAAATAAAAAACGGAGAATGCGACGGTAGCTAGAATACGCTGTTCGTCATCCATTCGTCAAGATCGATTCCTCGCTTGGTGATAACAAATTGAACCTATACGTAAGACTATAAAACATCTTAATATAAAAATTATACCTTAGTTGCCTCATTTAATATTAAAATATAGATTCTGTCGAAATCTTATTATTGTTGAGAAATATTATATTGGATAAAGTTGAGCTATAAACAACGAATCTAACTTTTAGTTCTGAATAATAACTCGTAGTATAGATTAGTAAGTGTCCATACAGACTCATTATCGCGCCTTTCAATATATCAGTCTATTGTTGCGACAACTGGTTAAGGTTTCACAGAAAAGTCATCTTAACTATACCTATCTTGGGTGGCAACACATGTCCAGCGACAGATCAATAATTTACAGAGCATTCCGTACTTGAATGACCTTTTTGTGTTCGACAGATTAATTTAAAGACAGGTTATAAGTGGCATTTTGATGTGTTTGACGTCAGCGCTGTATGCCACATTTTATAGTAACAGTAAATGGTTCTTAAGCCTCAAGTATATAAGGTGGTAAAGAATATTAAAAGTCACTAGTTGAATGGGAGGTTATAAAATCAATAAGAGTTTAGATAAATCATTTTAACGGTTTAAAACGTATTTTTTCTATTTTGAACCCAGTGTTTCGAGCAATTTGACTAATGTGAGGTTCATTCCTTGTTATTTTTTAAACTTCTATTTTGAGTGGCCTTAAAGAGAACGCTACAAAGCGATAGGACCTTTGCTCTATATAAAAAATATACGGCTTGAAATGTCTTCCAAAACGTTAATCACATAAGAATAGTTTTAACGTGGGCAGACCCAGTCTTTTAAAGGTAAATTTTTCATAAATATACGTATTATTTATGCTTAAAGACACATAAATTTAAGTTCGTTGCTTATATTTCCAAACATCTCTTACCAAACCCTATTCACAAAATATAAATCAATCATAATATTATCTCTGGAAACAATTTGCTATTGTACGAACGATAGATACCGCTGTTATAATTAACGCGGCGTGATTAGACTATTGTCTCTGTTTTTACCTACTCTGTACGCTCTATTCGTTCCTTTTCCTTTCATTTGGCCTTGCACAACGCATGCGTGCTTTAACATTAAATTTAGTTTAACTGGACATTGTAGGTATATCTTGAGTGGATTAAAAACTTTAATATTTTTTACATGTTATTGGTAATATTTTAATTCAAAATCTACTTAGATTGAAAAAACAATAAAGCAATAGTACGCTATGGACGCCGGTAGTCTCAACCGTGTTGTAATTTTTTTTAATCTAAAAAAATATTAATTAAATTGATTACGTAAGTTTGAAAACTGTTTTATAGTTTTCGGACTAAGGGGAGATTTAACTGTACTAAAAGTGGAAACCACTTAATAATAGATATTATTAGTATATTTCTATCTCTTTCTTCTATATACCAAAATTGAGGGTAATGTTATAGTCTAAGGTTAAATTTATATAATTTGGATAATAACAAATAAAAATTAGGTCTAAATTTAAAACCTTTTCATTGTTAATAAATATAACTATAATTAAAGGTAGAAAAAATATTAACTAATGTAGGATTTTAACAACTTAGGAATACCTTTATAATTTTTATGTCGTATGTTATTAAAGTAGTCATAAATTGAATTATAGCATAAAAGTTGAGAATGAATTGTAGCATAGCCTAACGTATAATACCTACTTTATATTAGTTGGTTACACTGGAGGCACTTGACATCCATTAGGGTTGAAACATTGAGCATCATCAACCCTTCATCAAATTCTCTGACAATCTGACATGCTGAGAGCGAAGAATAGATAATTATTTAGCGGTACGGTAAACAAAAAAAAGTAATTTTAAAAATTTTATACTCTCCGCATACCTTAGAAACACTATAGGTGAATAAAGAAGTTAAACTGTTTGTAGCTTACGCGAGTAATACGCATTATAGTTAAACACTTGGACGGTTTTAAACGCCAAATTTATAAGACAAATTTAACTACAAATTATTTGAACTACAGCCCCACATTCCCTCGCTACCATGGCTGCTGTATATAACAAGTTAATTATTATAAATTAAGTTTTTTTATTTATGAATACACATGAAGGGATAAACAAAAAAAAGTATAAAATATAATTACTTATACAACATTTTCTCATCTGTCCTTCAGTAATTTTGGTGTGAATATTCTAAGAAACGGCTGAACCGATATTAGCGTGATACTATGTTTTAAATAGACAAAACATTTAAAACATAGTATCACGCTAATAATATAGAATTCTGCTAAATAAAACTCTCTTAATAATGTGACCTCACTAGTCTTATCATATCAGTAAACAGAACCTTAGTTCTAGAATTCCTCTAGGATACCTGACCGTGGTCTCAATCCATCGGCATTGGTTTGTTCTTGATGCCACTTGCAAATTGGTGCAAATGTATCGTATTTTATTTGTCGAGGTCACATCGTCCACCTTGAGGTCACATTTTGACATTGACATTACAACTATTTTAAGCTAGCTCTGACCCTTGACTTCGTGGTCTGCGGATGCAAATTTCTCTCATCAATTAGTTTGATAAAATGTAAATTCTTCATACAGACAGACAGAGGTGCAATATTTATAAGATGTATGAATAATATTAAATACATATGAAATAAACTTAGAGACTTAGTATTTCACATGTTTGTATTTGTATTTAATGATAGTAATAATCAAGATCATGTCGTGGGTTCGATCCCCAGTTGCCCCAGTATTTTACTACCGTCAAGTCTAGGTTCTGTTTGTTTGTCCTTGTCTATGATAAAGTCTGTGGAAAGGTGAAATTTGTATTTTTAGATCACTTGTAAATTACTAAGTTCGTTAATAAGGCTGTGTATTTCATACTACAATATATTTATAGCTCAAAACACGCTTATTACAACACTATTACAGCATTCGTACGCCAATTATCAAATAATAAAGCAACTATATAAAAGTTTGAATAGAACACTTTAACGGTTTAAAACGCGATATGTATTAGTTAATCTTATTTGAAAATTATTGTAACTACGGCCCGAAGTTTCGGATGCTTAGCTGGAGCCGTGGTCGCGGGTAGACGAAATATATATCGCGTTTTAAACCGTTAAAGTGTTTTATTCAATGTACTGCTCGCGTAAACTACAGACATTTGAAAGTTCTGTAGGAGTGCAATTATGTTAATGAAATGAATGTCGCTCCTGCTTTTGACACGTAATATCAATTTTAGGATCTCGAAAGGCCTCAAAACCCACATTGTATGCAATGACACCGTTGGACGCTGAAAAGAGTGCAGGAAGTTTTTAATCTTAAAGAGAGATTATTCATAGTTCATGCATTCAGAATTTTTAATTACTTTTTTTGCAGTCGCTACCGCTCTATTGTACTGCGAGTAGTGATTTTAAATTAAAAGAGCCTAAGGCTTTGTCCTTATTTCGTACTATATGTATAATGGTATGTTTCATTGCGACTTCGTTAGTGTAAAAGTGCCTAGAGAGAGGTTGTTTGGTTTCATTGATTACGAACAATGACGCTTATATAGTTTTATTAGTTCCTTCATTACTTTTTTTTAAGTTTTCTTATATTAATTTTTGTGTCTGTAATTTTTTATGACAAATTAGGTTATAGAAATTTAAATTATCGATAGTTTTTGAATTATTTAATTAAACTCTTTTATTGGCTAAGATTAATAGTAAACTTCACCCTGGTTTTACTGCTTTGAATTTGGAATAAAAAGATGTTATAATTAACTAGAAGACGTTGGTATTTTTTAAAACTACAAGTTGAAATACTGTCTGTAGTGTACGTAAGAAGTAGACATTTAGATAAAATACTTTAACGGTTTAAATGCAAAATATGTTTATTAAACTGGTTTGCAAATTATTTTTAACTAAGTACGATCCGACGTTTTGCATTCTTTGCAGCAGCCTTGGTCACGGGGAGGCATAGAGAATCTTTTTTTTAACTAAAAGATCAGCAAGATACCTATAGTAAAAGCAAGATATATAAACGAACAGAATTGCAATTGATTTAATAATCTCAATATCTCTTCTCCAAATCCCCCCAGTTAGTTCGGCGAGTTTGGCCAACTTCGACGGCAAAAATGCCCAATCAAGCACCCGGGCGCGGTTACTTTTCCATTACGTTTTTGCTGACTGTCCATTAGGAAGTTTGCTCGTTACGAATCCGCAGGGCGCCACCTACATTTTGTTTCTAGTTGGGGCTACTTTGTTGTTTTATGATAGAAACAGAACAGCCCAAAATAATAAATAAACTAAAATTATTTTTATAAATACGACAAAATTATGTGTACCAATACGACTGTTTATTTCAATTCAAATTCAAAACGTTTATTGCCATAATAAGATATTTACAAACTTATAACTTAACTACATTGTGTGCATAAAAATAATAATAATATAGTTATAAATATATATAAGAAATGGCAATCGGTACCAGTCACAGCTATGCTGCTGAACGCTTGTCACACTCAGCAGTGGTCTTCAGACTGGCCCGGGCATAGAAGGGAAGAAGTGAAGTTTAGTAAAGTAATATAATATAAATATAATTCCAAGATTGATATAAGGAGGTGCAGTTTAACATGCCGCTTGAAAGTCGTACAGGTCATCTCCTTAGATGAGTTATTAGCTTTGATTTGGTTTAACTGATTTTGATAAACCTCACTAGATTATGTCCTAATACTGGCTCCAATTTCGAAAGTAAAAATAGATCGACAACGGATTTTTATTACTTAGAAGACTTTTACCTTTTGATCCTCGTACTTGTCAGTTATAAGTTAATATATAAGCTAGTTTAAGTTATCAATTAAACAAGACTTTGGAAGCGCATTTAGTTACAGTATAGTTAAGCAAGGCGTACTAAAAACAAATATGTAACTGTAAATATGCTCATTAAAAGTTAAGTCTCCCGCATGACCACGGTTGCTGCAAAGCATTCGAAACATCTGGCCGTAGTTAACATTATTAACCTAGTCTACAATCGATTTTAAATTAAAGTAAAAGAATTACGCCACAGACAGGACTTGAACCAGCAACCGCAGCGTTCCGTGCTGTCTGTCAAAATATAGAAGTTTTCAAACGTATAAATGTGTTATTTAAATTATATTACCCTAAAGACACGCTCTCTAAATATATCGTTGTCATAAACATCAATAATGTGTTTACGGATTTGCATTTAATTAAATCCGCCGATATTTCCTTTAACACCAGAACAGACAAGAGTGCCGCACTAATAACTCGATATTCCTAACACCGATACATTATGCATGAGATTCAAACACGACACGTGTTTACATAATGCAAAGTCCTTCGTCTTCTCCTTTACACGCCGTTACAGCGTACAGTGACACACAACACTATCGAATTTCACGGAAAAATTGTCTAAAGCAATCGTTTCCTTTCATGATTTCCTAGTAGATAAAGCACTAGATTGCAAATCACAAGGTCCCAAGTTCATAGTGGGTCAAGTAAAATGTTACTTCGGTATTAAGACTTTATCCAAGGAGACTTCTGTTACTAGGTGTTAAGGAGGTAAAGCCATCAATACAGTTGTCCTGTGGCTGTAGGCGTTAAACAAATCTTTACTGAAACAGCGTTGCAGATCTTCTCTCAAATCCTTTTATTAGCTAGAGGGAGGAAATACATTAATAAAATGATATATTATAATTTACTTATTCCATGTGCCTAGAGTTATAAAAAATGACGTTTTTTTTTGTTTCAGTGGCCACCGAGATTGCTGAGGTGGACATTCACCCTTCTACTGCTAGTAGCCGTTATCGCTCCCACCACAGACTCTTCTAGTAAGTATACACTAGAATATATCTAACAGAGTCAAGTCATATACATAAATATATGTATGTGAATTGAATATGACTATCAAACAAAGTAATTCTGGCCCAAAATAAGTTGTTTTTGTAACCCAGAAGCTACAACAAAAAAACATAAACAGAGAAAAAGGGCAAAATAGTCCCCGTAAGCTTTTAAACAAAAACAATTGGTGTACGGCGAAAAAGATTTTAATTTCGACCGTTCTTTAAACACATATCTCGTCGAAGAGGAATCAAAGCCTGTCTGAACCCTCGGAAGTGAGAGAGAAGAAATTTCAAAATTCAGTCGCAGCTTAGCGGCGATTTGTCGTCAAGTAAACATGTCTGCCGGTCGCCATTCGAGTTATTTGGAGCGTGCCAGACGCCCCACTTCCGTCTCGTGAAAGCTAACACAATATCTCCTGCTTATTATCAATTGTTTTGCACTTTTATATATTGCGTTCTCGGAGAACTGGGTTAATCGCGCTTTGACAAAACTAAGGCGTTCCATATTAACATTCGATAAAAGGAGTAATTAATGCGACAAACATAAATAGTTTAGAGGAATGTTTATACTGAAGAATTGATGACTGGTAAAGTACCTCAATAATAAGTCATATAAAATATTGTCAAGATGCGCGGTCAATGTATTGTTGCTTTATATATTTGCGAAGTCAAAGACTACAGCTGAAAACCTATTAAACTTCGCGGCTCTTTTATCTGTAGGCATTGCTTCGTGACACGGACGAAATTTCGATATTCAAACTAAAACTATTTATTTCACAAGACAGAATAAATAACTTAAATGTTAGCTTAATAACTTACCTAACAAAACTTATCACCCATATAACATCCAAACGAAGTTTCAGAAAAATTATAAATTTCTATTATTATTATGTTAGAGGGGAACCAACTTAATTGCCATTAACATTGGCATTGTAAGACTAACGAACCTGTCAAAACATGTTAGATAAGACAGCGTATATACATTTAGAATTTATTTTAAGATACGGGAGACAACATTTGTTTTATCGCAAATACAATTTAAAATCCCGCTTTTCAAAATCTCATAATAAACTACTGAAAAAAACGAATTTTCATAATCTTAACTTTTCCTTCTTTCATTGCAGATGTCCGCAGAAGACTTCGTAAGCCAAGCAAAGTCAACACATCTGTAACCAGCAGCGTCTCCAGGTCTTCCGACCAGGTGATATCAGCCAGCGTGAACCGGCCCAAGGTACGAGGACGTCCCACCGTTGCCAGCCGGAAATCATCAGCTGCTCTAGACAACTCCGTAGCTACTGAAGACCACAGGGACAAAGATGGATACAAGGTACATATACGTTTAAAAATCTATACTAACATTATAAAGCTGAAGAGTTTGTTTGTTTAAACGAGCTAATTGCAATAACTACTGATTCGTATTGAAAAACTATCTTTGTGTTGGATAGACCCTTTATCGAGAAAAGTTTTGAGCTATATAACAACACACATACACACGGTGGAAAAAATGAGCATTTGTCTATTTTTTCAGATTGTGTGTTTTTAAAATTTGTCTCACTATTATATGGAATAGTGTAGATGTACATTGATTAACAAATATATAACTTTCAAGTGCTTAGTCAGTTAAATATGGGTTCGATTTTTCAAGAGGGGTGGAAATATTTTTATGACCGTTTGATTGAACAGGCAAGTGCTGTGCAAAAAATAAGATCTATGAGACACAAAAGTCAAACTTAGTACTTCTGTACCCCGCTGACGGAAATAATTTATTGTTTACCGGGATTTGAACCTAGGACTTTTCGTTCTTACACTATGCTGGGACAGTGGCCGAAAGCTATGGAGGCAAAGTAGACCACGAGACAAAAACAATGAAGCTAACACAAAAAGAAACTTTAATAATAGTAGATCCTAGTATAATTATATACATATGTTTATGCGCTGCGTAGCTCCGTCTCATTTTTTAAAAAGCCTAGGCATCACCTGCATTCAAATGCAGTGTTCAATATTAGACGTTATCAACTTCCGATCAATATTTTAATCTCATTTGCCATACATCGAACGATCAAACATTTCAATTACAAACGCAGCCTATTTACTGTCCTAGGGCTGTCCAATGTTAATTAAATCTTGTCAAATCTAGTTAATCAAATGTTAATTATTCAACTGATGTCCCTGATGCATTGAAATTTGAGTGCCTTGAGTTATTGATGCTCAAATACTTAAATTTAATTCACTAGCAAGTATATTAAATTGTGTTAATATATAATTAAAAGATCGAAAATAAATTGAAAAAATTTTCAGCTTCTTACCGAGTGACTAGGTAGCTCAATTGGTAGGGCAACAGCACGGAAAGCTGACGATGCCGGTTCAAGTCCTGCCCGAGTCGAATTTTTTTTTCCGTCATTAAATTATATAGTGCCTTCATATGCAATGACATGTAAAAAAATATTAATGTGTTCATATATGTTTTAATAAGGCAGCATTATTTTATAGATAAAGTCTAAATGTTTGATATTTTTGAACTATTTTAACAGTTACTAAAAACTATATTATGCAGTTACTAACAACGTAAATTAAATACATAAATTAAATAAATAATAAAGTAGCTTTCATAACTTTATTATTTTCACGTGTTATGTTAATTGGTTAGCAACACGGTCGCGATGGATACCGATTCGTGTCTCGCCTGTCAAATTTATAAGTATTTAATTTTTAAAGTTAAATAGATTATTAGTTTATAGTTAATGTAATATTGATTACATTTACCATAATTATTCTGCTGTAAGTATTCATACTAAAGTAATGTAAGTTGATACTTATCTATCTAGATTGTAGAAAAGGCAAGTAGGTATATTTTTGTTTAGTTATAGTCTGTGTATGTCTTAATTTAGTTAAAATGAAGATTTATGATTTTATTTCAAATGTAGGAACAATAATAATTATCTTTATATTTTTTCGGTTTGCGCCAACCCTATCGTGGCGACTTGTAATTCATTTGCGCTCCGATTTCACAAACTCAACGGCTGATGCAAATCAAACGATATTGCACGTTCGCTATATCCATAATTTTGCTTGCTTTAACACCGATTTCGTACAAAATAAACTGCGGAGATCTTTTGAACCGAGCGTTGGGAATATGGGACTAAGTTTTTTACACTATAGCATAGCATTCACGGGATTGTAAGAGTATGTATCAGGGAATTACTAGATGCGATTTTCATTTGAATTAGAATGTTTCCCCGATATTTGCGGTTGCTTTTTGTACGAGGTATTTTTTTCTTTTACGGACAAGGATTACCATACGTATAAAGAAACACTTATAGCCGACTGGCTATGATATATAGACTTTGTTTAATTGCATATTATAATGACTAGCTGTTATTTTAATTCGCGAAAGAAATTAAAGAGATGTGTATTTTTTTTTCTGTTTTAAGAACTTTGTTTAAACATTATACCTACTTACTGCTATTAATAATACAAGACACTCAAAAATAAACGTATTTGTATGTATTGTAAGATGCCTAAAAGTTATTTTCTCCTTAGTGAAAGCAAAGAATATGCAAAGATCAATATGGCATTTAGAAAGGCTGTGTTTCCCTTCCATAGAGTCAGGAAGCCTGTTCAACCTTGCCGATACCTTTACACGACAAAGAAATCTAAGCTTTAACACATTGTTATAAAGACACATTTCATTCTTCAAATCTCTAGCTATAAGTTGTAAGTACAACGCGGATATGTACAGCTTTTTGAATGTAAAAGCGTACTTGCTTACCTTCGACTGTTGTGTATGCTTTTTGAATCTTATGTCTATGGTATTAGAAGTGAAATCACAATGGCTGCTTAGATAGGTCAGTCGTATTGGTAGGATATTTAAATTGTCAGGATATCCTATATGCCTGATACAACTTCGATAATATGGTGATTTGATTGTGAAGATGAAAATGGCATTGTGAGGAAGGTCTTATTATTTTTAAGACAATAAGGCTCTAGGGACAACTGTTAGATATTTATTTTTTCTTTGATTGTTTTTCAGGTATTAAACGAAACATTAGTTGAGTTTTTAAATAATATAATACAAGGATGATACAAAACAAAACATTATTTATTGTCACCACTAAATATTACATTAAGAAAAGTAAAAAAACTTTGATTATCATAATACTATTTTAAATATTTCTTATTTTTATTATTCCGTTGATTTCTTTTTTGTAACTAGTACAGTATTACTGACAGTGTTACTAAGTGTAACTATTCTCCGTTATTATAAAAATCTGACGCAGTATATTTTCCTTCCCCAGGTCGTGTGCTATTACACAAACTGGTCTCAATACAGAACGAAGCTCGGAAAATTCCTGCCAGAAGACATTCAGCCTGATCTCTGCACCCACATCATCTTCGCGTTCGGCTGGATGAAGAAGGGAAAGCTCAGCTCCTTCGAATCAAATGACGAGACAAAGGATGGAAAGACAGGGTTGTACGACCGGATTAATGGTCTGAAGAAGGCTAACCCCAAGTTAAAGACGTTGCTTGCTATCGGTAAGCATAGTTACTAATATCCTAATTTATGTTATTAAAAAAAAGACATACAATAAAACATAAAATAAATAAAAACACTATTAACGGTTTAAAACTCGAAATGTCTTAGTTAAACTTAGATGTCTCCCTGTGATCATAGTTGCTGCAAGCTACAGATAGTATTTACATAAAAAAAAATGGGCTCATTTCGTTTTACAATATAACAGTAGATATATGACAGGGTAAAATAATATACAATTTTTTCACTAAACGCCAGGAACACGAACCAGCCCTACAGTTGCAACTCGGGTCTTAGATCCTAATGTAACACGATAACTACGTACCTAACGTAAATAACGCATGTCGTCGAGTTTTTGGTTTTAGTATGATTTTTACGTTATTTTCATTCGAAAAGCACAAGTATATGAAAATCTTTTTAGAGCTAAACTAGAGATCGAAGGCGTAACCCAATGAACAGACTTGAGGTACACGCACCACTAGACCAAAACTCTCAAATACATTATTATACTCGTAACACATATTTTACGCAAACCGTCGCGTGCGCAGGTAATTGCGTTTAAGTATTATTATCAACCAACAGAAACGGTTATCGTGGATCAATTATTTTCATTTGAATTCGAGAGTTTCCGGTATATTTCCGGTCGTTTTTTCTACAACTCAAATTATTTCTAGCTCGCTGGACGGACGCGTGGAAATGCTGTTAATTATAGCGTTATATAGTTTAGTTAAGCATGACTATAATATGTGACGACTTGATAACATTTTAATTAACGGAAGCGTTATATTGACTTATTTATTAGATGACTATATAAAGTAATATATATTACATTATATTTTTGAGTTTTGTTTTGATGATTTGCGTAGTATTAAAATTACCTCGTCGGTGTAGTAAGTAGTAGAACTATTGAATGTAGATCGAGGACCCAGGTTTAAGTCCCGAATTGGAAGAAAAAATCTTTGGTATTTGGTATTCTTGTTGTAAATTTCTGGTTAAACTTAGATAATTTTGGAAGTAAAAATGTATCTGACGAAAAAAAGTAGTTAGTTAATTTTTGGCGACCCGTACTGTATAAGCGTGTTTTTAAATTCTGAATACTGCTTGCTGTGAGAGATTGGACTAGCCGTGGGATATAAGTAGGTTCAAACGATATTGTAATTATTACTACCTAATATACACAAACACGTCATATTACACGTCCACAACTGAAAAATGAAACGCTTCAGTTTCAGTCTTTGGTCTCAAAAAAGGTCGACACCGCGTCTTTCGGACTGCGGTATTTCACCTTCTATCATGTGAAAACCATGCCTTTTTATCCCCTTTTATCATAAAAAATACATTGTATTATGACATACTTCAACAAACATGCAAATTTACAAATAGACCATTATGAAAAAGTACCTCGCTGCAGAAACACGTCAGTCTAAAGGCTGTTATCTAGAACAGCACTATAACAATTAAAGTCATCAATATTTCAACTAGAAAGCGTCATAATGCTTTGTTTAACGAGACAGGTTGACAATTCGCCTTACATAAGATTAATTACTTGACATACCTGTGTTACATAAAACGAAGCCTACTTTCTAAAGCAGAGCCCAGAATATTTCCTGACATATTACTTATTTTTGTACCTTACTGTCCACGGTGGAGGTTGTATAGCTGGTTAACTAGCAAATAAACCAGGATTCAATCACTTTGAGTCAATTATATTTAAAAATACACTTTAACATGTTTAAACGCAAATTATATTAAGTAGTGAGTTTTTAACTGTAGTCTCCTGATCCTCTGGTCGACTGATAAACCAGATGCTGAAATTTTTTAACTGGAAAATCAGAATGTAACTTTTTTAATATAATATATTTTAAATAATATTTTATTATGTGGTTAAATATTAGTAAAATCAACAAAAACCATTTTTGTCTAAAACAGCCTACATTCATATAAATACACTCGAACTTGCGCGTCTGTTATTTCCCACTTTTTATCTCTATTTGTAACCTGTGGTTCACTGGTATAGCTTTGCATTAAGTTATTTTAATTGCCATTAGGGTTATGTGTTTGCAACAGACATCTTACAATGATAGGAATAGGTAGCGATCCCCTATGTCCGGAGTGCAGAGAAAGTGAGGAAACAAGCATCCATCTACTCACTGAATGCTCTGCGTACTCGAGACTGAGACAAATACATATGGGCTCGGACGAAGTTACAGAAGATGACATCAAAGAACTACAGATGAAAAAAAAATAAGATTCTGCAAGCAAACTGGAAGGTTTGAAGGGGACACGGGGAGAGTTGGATGACCCAAAACCTCTGCAAGGAGGAAATGGGGAAATGGGTGAAATGGTCACCGGATAACGTGGACTGATCACCCGTCGTGCCAAGGGTGTCCCCGATAGAAAATAATAATATATTTTCAGGTTTAAGCAAATAATCAAATGCGTAATCGGGTTAAAGAATAATTTATTTTCTCCAATAAATATACATATTCACTTAATGAGAAAACAAGATGTTTATGGCACTTTATTTAAACGAAATATTTAGGTTAAGGGCGTGTCATTAAAAAAATCAATCTTTAGAATATTATTCAAGCCAAGTTACAAACGAACTATCGATAATTCCACAAATATTCCCATCCCTAGTGCCACAGTTCTCACGTTTTCACTATACTAGATATCGATAAAAAGTCAGCATATGCAACAATACCGTTCGATGTAATCAGATTGTGAAAACGTATTGTTACAAGTTGGTTGTAATCGATTTTCTCAACTGACGCGAATTCCTAGGACACTATCGGTATTGGAAGTATTTAGATCAAACTTAGACGCTAGTAGATAAAACCCTTCAAAGAAATTGTTTCGTACGCTACACTTAACGCACTTGCTACGTGTCAACACCTAAGGCAAAGAAGAGTTACTGTCCTATGTCAGGAGAGTGATATTGTCAAATACAATTAACATTCAAATCAAATCAAATCAAAAATCATTTATTCATGTAGGTAGCTTAGTACACTTATGAACGTCAAAACAGGTAAAAACTTAAGACTCTAAATTTACAGTTACTATTAATTAATGTATGACAAAAAACTCACCCACACAATCTTTAGAATTATAAATGTGTGTCTTTTTCTACAAGATGAAAAACGAGCTATTTGATGGTATTAAACAAGACTAAATTAAATATGACCAGAAGTTTTTTGTTTGTCTATTAACTTTACATGATGTTTGACGAAATACAGAACCAAAAACTAAAAAAGTTACCCTAAACAAAAAATGGTAATCCAATTATAACTACGACAAAATCTTTACATTATACAATATTAACTGTTTAAAACACAATATATATTCTATAGAATAGATTCAATATCCCGTTTTAGAACGTTATAAACTTTTAATTCAAATGTCTGTAATTTTTAATTCATAACGTGTTAAGTCCATGTTTTTGTCACCAGGTGGATGGTCTTTCGGCACTCAGAAATTCAAGGAGATGTCAGCCACCCGTTACTCCAGACAGACGTTCATCTACTCAGCCATCCCGTACCTCCGGGACAGGAACTTCGATGGGCTGGACGTGGACTGGGAGTACCCCAAGGGCGGTGATGATAAGAAGAACTTTGTGCTGTTTTTAAAAGGTATGTGGCGAAGTAAAAAATATTGTTTCTTTCTCTTAGCTTTTTATTACTTATTAATATTTATACCATACTGTGTAGTATAAATCGAAAACCTTGATCATGGGCCAATGAAGTGGACCTACTTCGAAAATTTTATTGTCTACGATCCGTAAATTAAAAGAATAATTATTTTTTCACTGAAATAAATACAACGTTTTATATTTTCCGATTAAACGGTTTTATTGAGTATTTATTTAATTACTAGCTATGCCAGCCACTTTGTCCGCGTATAATAATTATTTTAGGCATCAAAAATAGTTTTTTTTTAACTTTCTCCTCATCTTCATAATTTATAAATCATTTTCATTTTACTGCCAGCTGTTACCTACGACGTCGCTCGTGTCCGGTTGTTTTTGCAAGTGAATCTTAAAAATAGGAATACACTATCGCGAACCTTTTTTTTAGATTTAGTTTTTGCAGCGCGCGCAACGGAAATCCTTAAAGATAAACGATTCGACTGTTTACCACGCCTATTAATCGCAAAATTATGTCTTATAGCCCAAAACTTCCGCGATAAAGAAATAATGTTTCAGTTCGAACAAACAAATTCTTCAGCGTTATAATATTAGTATAGATTTACACAAATATTTTCAGAACAGATCCCATCCATAAAATATTCCCAACAACAGGGTTTGTCATTGAGATAGCTTTGGGTTACATAAATATTGCACGCTTGCACACTACCGATAGAGTGGCGGTTGCACCTGCCGCCGACTAGGGCTGCCTTTAATATCGATAAAAAACTATCGTCTCTGATTAAATACTGTCTATAGTTTACGCGAGTAGTACACATTTAAATAAAACACTTTAACGGTTTAAAACGCGATATATTAGTTAAACTTATTTGAAAATGATTTTTAACTTCGGCCCGATGTTTCGGATGTTTTGCAGCAGCCGAGGTCATGGGGAGACTAAAGATGGAGGATGTCTCTGACGTCAAAGTAAAAAATTGCTACGCTAGCGCCATCTGTTCCGTCGAAGTTGGTATTTGGCGAAACTGGCCGGTGCCTTGCCGATGCCGGGCCGAAGTTAAAAATCATTTTCAAATAAGTTTAACTAATATATCGCGTTTTAAACCGTTAAAGTGTTTTATTTAAATATCGTCTTTGATATGAAAGGCATACATTACGTGTAAATAGTAAATACATTTTCAAACCGATTTTAAATTTAAGATGCTTGGTAAAATTCTTACAATCTAAAATCGAATCTTAATTTATATAATAACATCATGTGCATTTCTTATTACGTTTCCATATACATGATGTAGATAGAGAGTCCCTAGTCCCCACACCAGGGCAAGTCTGTGTCTTAGGTGACTAGTCTCTTCCAAGTTACAATCAATACATATAATACACACATATTTAAGTTTTAAAATATGACATACATACAGAGAATAATAAACTATAATATTATTTACTATTTGCTGACGTTGGAACGATAGATCACAACGAACAAAAAGTTTTGCTAAAACATCAATTAGCTTTGTATTTCTTAAAACTTTTCACAACAACCATTACGTTTGATAATTTGAAGTCATTATTATTTTATTAAAATCAACTTAGATGAACAAACTTTGAGCTTTAACAATTTAATTAACATAATTTAAATAGCAAATTAGATTTTTGTCAAGACATGTGACGTACATTAGCTTTTTAGTAATATTTGTGAATTAAAAAAGTGTTTTTCTCTATAAGTATCTACCTTCTTATTTGGTACACCAAAAATAAGCTCTAGAAAATCCGAATCTTCTGATAACAGTCTATGGAATCTTATCAGCATCATAATCTTCATCTCATCCATTCAATCCACGTTATCCGAGCTGTAGCACATCACTATCGCAGGTCAAAGCGAACTTAATCGAATAATTTATCGATAGTTGCACCTGACGTCAGCACTGCGTCTTCCTTACATAATTTTATTTCCGATCAAAAAGCAACGATCGCAGAATCGATAAAAAGGTCGCACTCACCTGACACGTTAGCGGGAGCTGATCCAGGTTTTATCGACATCGATAAAAATACGAAAGTTACGAGTTTTTATTCTCTCTGTTTATTTTTACTCACCTTGTTCCCTATAACGGATATAAATAAAATGCCAATAGAATATTTAAAAGAATCAGTTACGTAATGATTCTAGTTAGTAAGATGGAAATGTATTTAATTAAAACACTTTAATGGTTTAAAACGCGATATATATTCGTTAAATTTAATTGAAACTTATTTTAACTACGGCGCGACATTTCGGATTTTTTATAGCAGTCGGAGACACGGTTTTCACGTTATATATATATAAGTTTAACTAATATATATGGCGTTTTAAATAGTTAAAGAGTTTTATTTAAATGCGTATTATTTCTTTGAAATAGATAGTTTTGAAAATGTATATAATAAGATCCAATTGTTAAGTTCGATTTTTATGTATAAATCATTCCTTGATGATCTTAATGACATTTTTGCTCAAACAGCTCTATTAAGTATCATTAAACATTTCCCAGTGAAATGAAAATAGCAGAATAGCGTTTTAAAAGGTTATCAGAGAATCAAATAACTAAATATAATGGCATGTTATTATTAGTAGTGATGAGTATCACATGGAATGCAATATATTAGTTTGAAGTCCGTTTGCGTATATTTGCACAAGGCAAGCAAAGGACACAGGTCAATTTCATCAAAACACGATTCACGTTTCAAAAGGTCTGTTCATACCGGTTGCGGTTGAAACGCAGGCTTAATATTGGTAAAATGCATTTTATTTTAACCTTTGTTAAGGAGTTAAAAAAAGTATTTTCAGTTAATACCTACGTGCTTAAAAAATAACGATTGTCACTCAAATTAATTTTAAGCTGAAGATGTTTAAACTTAAATCAATTACTAGTCCCAGTAATACAAAATTGCCATGCACTATAAATACTTGTAGTAACCAAAAATCAAATACGTCTTAAAAATGCTCAAGAAAACAATATCCGTGTGAAGATACCTTGTCTTAATTGGGTTCTTTCGTAACATTATTAGAAAACACAGACCTTAGACACGGAGTAATAGAGCTTACCTGCACAATAACGTGACATATATTTATAACTAAGACATCATAATACGTAGGTTGCGATATATATTCCTAACACTAGAGGTACTTAATAACGAGCTTTGTATATAAGGCTATTAAAAGGCTCGCCACACGTACATTCATAAACAAGTGCATTAGTTTTAAAATACTTAGTCTTACCGAAGTTACGCCTTCCTGTTTACAATAATATAAGAAACATGTAAATAAATCATTATTAACGGTTTTAAACGTGAAATGTATTAGTTAACTTTTTTACAATGTATTTTAACGACGGCACCACGTTTCGGATTCCTTGCAGTTGCTGTGGTTACGGGGAGACAGAAGATAGAAGATGTCCTTTATGTTAAAGTAAAATTTTCAACTTGTTTCATAGTAGTTGGTACTTAGAGACTTATTGGGCTATTATAAGTAGCTTTCTGTAAACATTTCTTTAAAACTTTGAATTGGATAAAGATTTATATTATTTCTAATTTTAATAAAACATCTAATCGACCTACCAGTACATCGTTTACAATAATAAAACAAGTAGGCATGCAATGGAACCATGTATGTATGGTTATTCATTAATGTATTCCGAATACTTTTGATTTTTATTTCCTTTGATATTTACGTCCATATAAAATTGTTGGTCAAACAAAAAATTATAATAATTAACTCGTAAACGTGTTTTCCTTCAGAATATGGATGCCTCAACGTTCATACATAAATTAATACGCTGCGGAATTAAGACGGAAAACACAGAAAGCTATACTATTTACCATAATTACGGATAAAATAGAATTACTTTAAATCATTATCATTCCAATGATAGCAATGTATATGGTATAGTGGTAGGAATATCGATGTTTCGTCCGGGTCTCACCTTTCACTGATGAAAAAGCCTTCAAGTTTAATCGCGTTTCGGCTTCAGTCTCTAGATTTCGGAATATTCAAAACCCCACTCTAGTATGTCCTCCTTTATCATAAATAAAAAAAAACACGAGCGAAAAAATTACATTTTTAAATTAGGAAGAACAGACACACAGAGGATGTATCTTTGATGTAATATATCCGGGAAACCCAGTTTTCCGGAATACCAGCCAAGCGTGACTAAACGAATGAATTATTTATATTGAATTATTGTTGATAGCGGTATTATATTGGACCTTTTAAAGAAAAACATAAAATAATATTTTTAAGCTCACAGTCTATAATAGGTTTATCTAAACATATCCTCTTTTAATTCGTTAAATTTGTTCCAAGTTGGCATCTCACTTGTAGTTAAAGAACAAATTGTATTTTATTCAGTTAAATCTAAGATAATAGATTCAAATGAAATATATAAGAGTTAAATTAAATCACTTAACGGTTTAAAATGCAAAATATATTAGTTAACTTATTTTTATTTTTTTTTAATAACAGCTGTGTCTGTGTAGTTACAATTTACACTATTAAACGTGTTTTATCTAAATGTGTACTATTCACGTTAATTACAGAAGATATAAAAGTGCTATATTTTATGGCAAACATAGAGGATAACTGACTTTAGTTTGGCAAATATGTGGTGTATGCGAGTAATGCCGCGTAGGGAATAATATTCACGATACAACCAAATATTATGGCTTTCCGCGCACCTAGACTGTATAATATAATGCCCTTATGTGTTATAGAGTAGTTGTGATATAAATAATTTCTCAAATTACTCATATATTTAGTAAAAATAAAACGTGTATTGCATTTAACAAAAACTTAATATTTTATAATTTCTATTACATTGAATTAAGTACACTTTTACATACTTGTAATATTATTGTTTCACCTAAGCCACGTTTGGTCAAATCAGTAGTTCTAAACGAAATCAAGGAGAATAAAAGTTTATAATCTAAGGCTAACGATAACGGCTAAATAACGGTACCGAATAAAATAATTAATAAAACCACGGCAGAATCTTAAAAGTGAAATAACAATTTTCAATAATTTATTTTAAGAGTCCCCTGCAAATCGCTCATATTATAGATAAGTTATTTCTTTATCGATTCAAACTTTTAATGATGAGTATCATAGAATAGGTTGGCAAATTTTCATATACGAATAAGAATCCACATAATATTCCACGTAATCATGGCGCATAAAAACAATTAATCATACAAGAACTAATTTCCTAACAGCTAAGTTAATACGCTGTTCGAAACTTGCTTCTCACAAACTAGTATTTGGGTCTCGAGTACAGGATCCTACAGATTTGCACTTCCAAATTGTAGTGATGCGACATTCACGGAGAGAACTTTTTTTAATACTTCAAAATTCTACGTACTATAATAATCTGAGGGTTTTATTTTAATTATTGTAACAGAAAGTTTACACCGTAAAACGGCTAATAATTGTAATAAAAACAAAAAAAAGGATTGTTGGGTTTTTGAACGCATCCAATTTAAACCAGTTTAGAAATAGAACCCTGTAACGTACTTGTTTTAATAATCAATATATATATAATATACATGTCTTAAAATCACTCAAAGATGTTAACTACTTGAGTAATAAAAGATAACTGTCTTCCTTCGAACTTGTCACATAGTGTATTAAAGAAAATTGTAGAAAAATCCCACTCCATACAAAACAAATAACGCAGAGGCTCATTAAAACAGTCGGCACACACGTAGGAAGGCTTAATTACTGTCTATGATTAAAGCTACGGACTCACTTTGAACAAACACAGTATCAATTGCCACCTAGCTATTTAAATAATTCTAATCAACCCTTACAACTCTCCAAACTACGGCCGCGTTTATATGGGTATTGTAATCCATATATATAAACTATAGATTACATGAAGTACTTGTTCTATAGACATACATAGAGGAAAAAATCGCCTTAATTATCTTACAAATGTTTATTGATGATAAACATAAATTAATAATTAATATTATTTCATATTCCTAGGCATTAGTAATCGTAGGTATGTAAAACTCGTCCATTATATATTAAACTAGCTAATAATAATGGGCATCCAAATTTGTTTTTGCAAATCGTTATAAACTTAAGCTGTTACCCATGACGTCGGTCACGTCCATTCCCGTCGTTCCTGGAAGTTTATCTTGAAAGATAGACATATAACGTACTTTGACGTTAGATAATTCAAAGGGAAATCATTCTTTCATACATATTTTTGGGTGTCTTGAACCGATTTTGCATCCTACGCCTACGGTAACCCAAAGTGATGAATAATTTTCTCGAATTTTTCACAAATCTCACTGTATATTCAGTCATATTAGTGACAGGGCGATACCCTATAGTCTTTGTTGATAAATGCTCTAACCAACACAAAAATAATTTTCTAATTCGAACCCGCAGTTCCTGAGATTAACACGTTCAAACAAACAAACAAACTCTTCAGATGTATCAGAGATTTTTCCGATATTTGAATCTAGTTCATAGTTTTTTATATATATTTTAAAATATGAAACCACGTTCGCAGTACGCAAAACGGAAACGAAATTTTGTTCTGTAAATGTTTTATAGTTTAAAGTCTTTCTCAAGAACATTTTCAATCAACATAAAAAATAACTTTTCAATTCAAACTAGTAATTTTAAACAAAAACACTCTATAACTAAATAAGCTTTAAAATATGGCGTATATAATTTAATTCTTAATAAATACTAGACACAGTTATCAACAAAATGAAACGGCATTCTATAAATAACTTTTATAATAAACCTTTTCCAGTCTTCATTCTAGAAAATATACAGAATGACTATACCGACCCTGACATTTGCATAAAACGAAGATTCTGTTTTTATAGGTAGAGCTCGTGACCAACAATATTATTAGTCTTTTATTTTTGTTCAGAAATCTATGTCTATGTGGATAGCTATTACACTTCTAAAACCACTAATTATGACTTAATTACTTAGGGTATACAGCCATTTACAGAAACTAAACATTCTTGTTACAATCACAATTTGCAATACAATAAAACAACATTGTGTCTTGCTTTGTGTTTTATTTTATTTTGTTGTGAATAACTTACTCGAGAAAAACTTAAAACCTACATTGTATAGACCTGGAACCGGAGAGTGTGTTTTGATTACGTCTTACGATTAAATTATATGTATTAAAAATTACAACAAATAGAGTAATAAGAAAAATATGTATGTATAATCATTGTGACAAGTTTCTGCGCGCGTTGATGTCTTTTCTAAGCGAACTTCTTGCACTCTTGCGCATATTTTGTTGTTATAAAATGCCTACTATAAATGATTGTATACGTTTTTTTGGATTATTTTGAAACTAATTTAATTTATTTTAAATATTATAAGTAATATGGACTTAATTTAACTCTTCTTTAATAATAGACTAAGATAACTGAAGTTTAAGTTACCAATACCAATTTGCTTACAGCTCAGAACACAATAAAATTCAAATTATACAAATTTAAAAACCATCTAAAGTACAACAAATACAATATTGAAAAGTGACATAAAACACCAACCTGCCATAACGCAAGCGCGAGCGCGTTGATGTCTTTTCTGTGCGCAGTATTTGCACTCCGACGCATAGTTTGTAGCTCTACGATTATAATATTCTAACACTTCAATAAGACAATATCTTTTAATATGCTGCCATTACTTCATAAACACTGCTGATCTATACTATATATTGTAAACTTAAACTGCAAGTGTAACTATTGGATTCTAATATTTTTCTTTATATTGGAATTATCAATATAAAGAAAAATATTCGAAAAATAATCGAACCGTAGTGAAAAATAATTTGTAATAAATTTTCGCGTTGTTAGTAAAAGTCTTTTATTTAAATATACATTCTGTAACTACCTTCTATTATCGTAGTTCAATCGACTGTAGATCAGGAGAAGTAACTTGGAGTCCAGAAAAAAATGATGAAATAACATTCAAAATAAACAATACACCAAGCAATTAGCATATCTTCCATATTATATGACGTTGAATACGCGAAAGCGGTGCATAGCTCTGCAATTAATTCCCAACTGCATAAAGCTGGTTTACAGTCACGCCAGACAGTCAGGATTAATATACGATAAGTAAAATATTACGAAATGGTTTAACTACAGACAAAATTTATTGTTGCTCACTTATTTGAATCATCCGCTTGTTAATCCTTTTTGTTGGGGGTCACTAAATGAGCGTTTCGACTTTGTGCTTAATAATTCAAATTGTATGATCACATTTAAATTCAGATAACGTGAAATATATTGTCCCAACCAAGAATGTTGCAAAGCATCTTAAACAATAGGTCGTGGGACATGGGGCGAACAAATCTGTTTTCGTTTCACTCAGTAATTTCAACTGCCAAGTACTTGATCAGACTACCGTCTACTGTGTCCTGCTCGACCGAAACGCTTAATGTTATACGATGTCAGTGGAGGGGAGGGAACCCAGAATCTCGTGCTTAATGCAGCGTTAAGAACATGTATAACAAATGAGGCGATGGTTAAAAGAATTAACGATTTTTTATAACGAAAATACTTTTTATGTGATACCTTTTGTTTAGGACTTAGCTGTTTTTGTGGGCGAATATGGTTTTTGTAACATACACAAAACCAACTCATATTTAAATTAGCTGTATCATGAAAACAAAAAAATATACTTATGAAACCTTATAAAACGGAGGAGGACTCAAACTAATCCTTTCAATAGTAATTAAAAGGCATTTAACTCCTCTGGAGCATAATTAAGAAACTCAGCTTGTAATATTAAGATTAGCTTCTTATTCTAAATCGAAGAAGATTTTAAAGGGAAAATAGTTAAATATCATTCGATTCACGTTTGTTCTATCCTTTTAAATAAAACACTTTGACTGTTTAAAAACATGATGATGAAACATAACGATGAGTAATGAAACATGTTTGGAAATTAGTGTCACAAAAAGAATTATTTATTTTTCTTGTTAGTCCCTATTTGTTTTCACATTTTACATTCAATAATATACAAACGTAACTAAAGAAATTTACATTTTTACAGAGTTGAGAGAAGCCTTCGAAGCTGAAGCCCAGGAAGTAAAGAAACCTCGTCTGCTGCTGACTGCTGCTGTACCCGTAGGACCTGACAATATCAAGAGTGGATACGATGTACCAGCAGTTGCCAGGTAAAATATTTTAGCATTCAAACGTCTATAATGAGCTGCAAACTTTTGGATTAGTTTAAAATTATATTGAATTAAATTAATAAATATACATTAAATGTATATTTATTGGTTTTTACTTATTTATGTTCCATTGCTGGAAGAGTCTCACCTTGTATTAAAAAAAATATTAAGGTTTTAGATTCATTACGTTATACTGTGAATTGCGTGCTATTTGTTGATAATTGAATATCACAATATTTCTGATTAAAATTGCAATAAACTGATTTGTTTTTTGTTGTGTTTGAATTGTTAAGTGGTATTTTTTGTAACGAAACGATATGGAGAGTATAGGAAATAGTGAGAAGCAAACATTTGAATGCAACGGTGTTGTGTGATAAATTTTCCTGTTGACAAAAGTGAAAAAAGTCTGATCGTGGTAGCGAAGATCAACGTAAAAGTGTTGTGATTGTTTACAAACGAACAATGATGAATAGAGTGAACACAATGCGTGCTCGTGAGAAATCAACGATTCAATGATTTAATGAGATTTCACAATCGTTTGTGAGAATAAAATTAACATAGAAATGTTGTTTTGGAGTGATAAGGATTTGATTGGTGATTAAGACTTTTATTAAGACAACTCAAGAAAAGACTCGGTTGAAAAAACAAAGTAGGGTTCACAAGATTCGCTGTTATCTTATTTTGGTTTTATACATTCTGAAATTTACAAACCTGAAACTGAAACTTGATAATGCTTCGGGGCATTTTTCATAGTGCATAGCGGTTATACTTAACATTTACTTAAAGTTCAGACTTTTCAGACAAAGTCTCACATTTAAAATATAAATAACTTGTATGACTCGTTAAGAGTGGAAGCTACGACCCGTTAATAATTATTAAAAATAATGCAACATATAGCATTATTTTTTAGTTATTGTTGCAGTAAAAAATAACTTGGTGGAAGGTTTTACTTGTAATGACAAAGAAACAATTTATTAAATATACAAATATCTATCAAAAATAGTAATAAATTTAAGCTTTTCGTGACGCTATAAATGTGATACAATAATATCTGTTCCACCAGTTACTTGGACTTCATAAACGTCATGGCATACGACTTCCACGGAAAATGGGAAAGGGAAACTGGTCACAACGCTCCGCTCTACGCTCCATCATCAGACTCGGAGTGGAGGAAGCAGCTATCGGTAGACCATGCAGCTCATCTCTGGGTTAAACTTGGTGCACCTAAGGAGAAGCTTATTATAGGTAAAGTTATATACATTTTTAGGGTTTCATACAGTTAATGAAATTGGCATAGACATATTACATGGTTTAACTACTACATATGTCATAAAACAAATGTTTTAAATATAACCTCAATAAGGCGTTTGCTTAAGAAACTAAAATTGTTACTAAAATATTTCTGTATAAAAGAAACGGATTTCATAAGCTTGTGTCCTTTCTTAATCTTTATCGATTTCGTCGTGTGGATATTTTTTTACTCTCATGTTAACTCTAAATTAAGTTAAATAAAAACATATGCAAATCTGCGTTTAAACGCATTGTCTAACGTTACATTAAGAACAAGTAGTTGATTAGAATCCGGAGAAACGATTGATCGTTTCGGTCGAGCAGATCATATAATTCTGATCAACTACTCGCCAATAAATAAAATCGAAAAGTGTCCACCACAAGGGAGAACGTAATTTCACGTACAAATTGATACGGAATTTAAAATGTTACCTTAAATTTAATACGTGGTTATTTGTGACTGTTTTTCAACGTTTGATGTAGATGAATGTTATCTTAATATGTAAGTAGATCATTAGTAGTCGCTGTTTGGTTCGCTTAGAGCGAAAGTTAAATAGTGAACTGATACAAGTTTGACAATAACTTCTCTCACCCAAAGGTCCTGGTCGTATTAAGTAGGTCATCCACGAGCCTTTGTCGAGTACGGCCTACGCACGCCTTTGAGTAGCACAAGTCATATGTGCATACCGAAATGCTTGTAACAAATTAATCATAGTTCATAGTTTGGGTTCCAATTCTGCTAATCACAAGGACAAAATAGGTAGAGGTTACCCACAAGTTGCCAGTGTAAATAGTTTTAACTAATGTCTGTAAACTAAAAAAAAACCAAGAACAAAACAAACAAATGTTTTTTTATGAAAGACAAGTTTGGCGGTCACTTGATTGGAGGTAAAATACCCCAACCATATAACTTCTATTAGACTAACGTTTACAAAAATATTTTACTTATGGAATCGAACCCACTAGTGAAGATAAGCCGTCAATGCTATAAGTAAAGCCATGTTAGGCCGTTGTAAAATGCAGAATTGGGTCACCTAATTAGGTAATAATGTAATGAATTTTCGATAGGCATAAATTCAATCGTAAAACAGTTTACGAAGAACTTGATGATAGAATTAATTAGTCATCAAAAAGTTCGCTCGTAAAGCCTATGATAAGTTTAGAATTGATATGTCCCTTATAGCTTTTTTATTATTCGCTAATAGAATAGATGAAGTTTCAATGCACACATAAGCTTTTAAAGATTTTCGAAGAAAAAAAATATTGTATGTTAATTGGTACTATGGTGAATAATGTTGTTGCGTTTACCTTACTACTTATATCTATGTAAAAATAATTATTATTAATTCGATGACAATCATATTTAAAATTGAGTCTTTTCTTTCTTTGTGACGCTTTTTATTTCTCTCAGAATAAATTGAAATATGTAAAAATGAAATTTCTAAACATAAGACCACATTTACAGATTACATTCAACTGGCAGATAGGCAGAAAATTACTATACCTAACACCCCATTTTATAAGACGAAGAATGACTCACGCTTTACACAAATTCGATGTATTACATTATAAATAAACTTTCAGGATAAGTGAGGTACAGTCGCCATCAAAATTCACGATTAAGTGAAGTGAAATTTCTTACTCGTCCTTATGTTCCAGGTATGCCAACTTACGGGCGTACTTTCACTTTGTCAAATGTCAACAACTTCAAAGTGAATTCTCCGGCGAGCGGGGGCGGCAAGGCTGGCGAATACACAAAGGAAGGAGGCTTCCTCGCGTACTATGAGGTGATTTTAATTAAAAATTATTGCTTCCATCCTGTAGGCGACCGTTCACAATCTGTCCGTACGACATTTTTGCCTCTCAAACAAATCGGGACCATTTATAACGGTTACTGAATTTTTGGTAACTATTTAAAAAGAGTCTTATTTTTTAAATATTTAATTGTAAGAAAAGCATATTTTTTTATCTCTAAGTTTTAGGTATTATTAGGAGATGATAAGAAGCAGAAAGCGACGTGCGGAATATATTGTTCTATAATTTAGTCGACTACTCAATTCGAATTTTTATTCTGATTATCTACTTTTGACCAGTCGATAGATTCGCAAATGGCTTAAAAACCATTATGTTCAATAAAGCTTGTAAAAAATGCCCCTTTTACTAGTTTCCACTACGGTTGGTAGTAAAAAAATCGTTCCATATCGCTTGAAAAATGTCGTAGCGTCGGATTGTCGGCGTCCTCTTTCCATCCTTTGAGACAAAACGGCTGTTCCCTCTACCTGCCAAGACCGTTTCTCCAAGGTTAACGGTTTGATAAAGAAGCACTCTTTCTAATTCGCAATTTGCACGGTTATAAACGACTAGGAATTTGCGATTTTCTCTCTATAATTTTTTTTTGGTTGCGAAATAATTGAATCGAAGCTTTGAACAAAGACAACAACAAACTCTTTTCATTTGAGCAGAATTATAACATTTTAGTAAACATCGATAGTCTAATTTATTTTACAAAATACAGAAGCTTATAAGGTTTAATTAAAAAGAAAAACTACGTTAACCTAAAATATATTGATATTTTTATTATGTAGGTGTGTGAAATACTCCAAAACGGAGGTGCCTACGTCTGGGATGATGAAATGAAAGTGCCTTATGCCGTACATGGTGATCAATGGATTGGTTTCGATGATGAGAAATCTATCAGGAATAAAATGAGGTAATTAGTTTACTGCACTATTCTCACAATAACACTAATACAACTTTAATAATAGATCTCCTAAATATATTAAGAAATATAAATTAATGTAAACGTATAGTTCAATATCTAATACTTTTACTTTAGCATTTTTTTTTAATTATTGTGAAAATCCATTTCGCATCACTTAAAAACAATAAAATTCACAGCAGAAATAATAATAATTCCGGGATTAGAATCGAGGACCTATCTTACTTATTACGGAGGCGGTTAAAATATGGTAACAATCTTCAATAGTTCTTACGTATTCGTTTTCTTACCAGGTGGATCAAAGACAACGGTTTTGGAGGCGCCATGGTGTGGACTGTAGACATGGATGATTTTAGCGGAACTGTGTGTGGAGGAAATGTGAAGTACCCGCTTATTGGTGCTATGAGGTAATTTTTTTGTTCCTTTTGAGTTGTGACATGGATTATATTAGAGGACATTATAAAATAACCTTTTAGAAGAAAGAATATAGTACATACCGGTCACACGTTTTCATTATTGTCCACACACCTAGGTACACTTATCCATCAAAACAGTAAAATATTTAAAACCCTAAATTTGCAGTCCCCAAGTTAAGTGCGTAGAAGGAGAAGAACTGGCAAGAAACTCGCCGCCACTCCTTTTATTGTGAAGTTTTTGATACAATCCTTACGCACTTAATGCGCAAGTCTTAAAGCGTAATATATTTTTCTTTCCCAATCTTTTACATTGTTAAATAACTTACTCTATAGTGATACTTCGTATCTGACATTCCCTAATGGGCGAAACAATCTAATAGTAATATTTCGTTTGCGTGCGAGTACTCAAAAGTTAATGTTGCGTAAAAAATACACTTTTATCCGATATTTCCCTTAGGTACGCCGTTGCGGGATCCCTTCCGAATGGGAAATACAAAATATTCGAGAGTTCCCGTTAATACATGACGCGGAAGATTTTTTATCGTAAACTTAGGTCAGACGGATTTTGTGCATTGAGTGAGTTTAGTTGAGTGGCTTCGTTGTAATAATAACAAGCATAAAAAGCTAGCAAGCTTATAAAAAATAAAATTACCAATAGACAATAAATTAGACAAAAGCATGTGTCGTTTGTTTTTGTTAATATAGGTTGATACATATTTACTCCTTTAACATCAAATTTAAATAGGTTAAATAAGTTGATTAAAAAACTAGTACTGAGTAGGCAAACAGTTATTTATGATTTTAAAATGCTAAGATCACGAATTCTTTGTTTATGTTATTTATATATTATTTATGTTTATGAAAAGATAAATCGTAAAGATTAAACTAGTCTAACTAGACTTAGCTACCCTACGTCTTAACTTAAGCTGAAGCTTTTAAAAGAACTTCCATTGACTGACGGAAGTAATGAAAGATCTTCCGATTTTATTCAATCCACGGCGTCTAACTAGAGAAAAGTCGCTTCGAGAAGTTCCAAGTGGGTTCTTCTATTAACTACTGCGTCGGATATCACGTTCCAGATATTTATTGCCTTAAACTTAATTTCAACTATCTGTGAACTATGAAAGAATTAAGGTTATCTTAAGTGAATCTAGATTCAATTTCAAATGAAATTGCTTTGTGGAATCGAGGTGAAAGTTAGCTTTTAAAAGTAATAGTTAGTATTTAGACTTTGTACTGTTTTTAATCACTAATCTGATTACAAAGCTTCTATAGACGCTTTTTAGAAAACTAATTTGATCTAAAACATTTATCAACATCGGAAAAATTCGATGACACTGGCGGAATTCAAATGCTCTCATAGCGTTGCGTGTGTTGCTTCTACCAATTAAACTAGCGTATCCGTATATCTTTAAACTTTTAACTTAGGTATTGAGGTTTGAAAATGATAGTTCAATGGTTAGAGCAGCAGCACGGGTCGATGCCGATTCATATCCCATTAATAGGATCAGATTTTATCAGTGTAAATTGATTTAAATATTAAACTTTACATATTTGAACAATATTCTAACTATGGCCCAACGTTTTGCGTTTTAAACCATTAAAGTGTTTTATGTAAACGTGTACGACTCGCTTTAACCACTGACAGTATTTAGTCTAAATTGATTATTGATATTATTTTTTGAGATTCAATGCCCTATGCGTAAGACATCATCTATTATTTAATAAAGTAATGTATCTTTCTACAGGGAAGAACTGCGTGGTATCTCTAGAGGTAAAGATGCCAAAGACGTCGACTGGGCTTCCGTTGCCGCCACCGCAGTCATAGAAGTGACAGAGAAGCCACAACCCATCAAGATTAGCCTTTCAGATGTCCTCAGTAAAGTGAAACGACCGACCAAGACGATTATCGTCAAGAACAATAATGCTGCTGTCGTCGATAAGAATAGTAAGTAAATAAGTAATTTTAATTGTATATCTTAGTGATGATCTATTAATCAAAAGGTTTTGGTTTAATTTAGTCACCACTTTGTCATTGTTACTGTACATGTCACTCTATAACTGCTTTACACAAGTTTATTTTGATTTATCTGTTTAAAGTTAAAAAAAACTTTTATTAGTTTAAAGTGCGAAATATACAAATTTATTTTGGTTAACCTAAATAACAAAATTCTTGTGTCACAATATTTGATACCTTCTAAAATAGCTTGACGGATTTTTATGCAATGTTAGTTGTTATCTTAACATAGGACTGAGAATTGAGTAATTTCTATATTTATAGATTGGTTTTGGGACACTTTTTATTTATAATGAAAAAAATAATAAATTAATTTTCACTTACATACCCTCAACCTTTATAAACATTATATCTTTAAGACAATAAGTTAATCTAGTTTTCCACTAAACATTTCGTAATAATTTATATGGTAGTTCATAAGTTAAAATGAAAGTAATCCGTCTATGTTCGAATTGACTAAATGACAGTAAACAAAATTGGAAACTTTCTCCAAAAGTATTACTTCCACACAACACATTATTTACTGCATCGCTCTTTAATACGTTACATTAGCTTTCTAAATTGATGAAAGTCTGGTAATGACATTATAACGACGATATATGAACCACTAACTTCTCCGCTCGACTTGCGACGACCTAAGCGTGACATATAATTTACTATTGATTGATAAAAACAATAAAAGTATAAACATAAATCTTTTAAATAAAACGTTTTGTGCGAGAGGTGTACGTATTAATAAGTTTAATAAATTCGACGTGACGTAATAAATTCGTGTGGGACTCGATAGCTCAATTGGTTAGAGCAACTGCACGGAACGCTGACGATGCCGGTTCAAGTCCTGCCCGAGTCCGATTTTTAATCATTTTTTAACGGTTTAAGCAGCCGTAGTCATGAGGGGACTACTGCGATGTAGATACAATAAAAATAATAATATATAAATATGTTCGCATCATACATTTCACGTTTTAAACCGTTGCAAGTGTTTTATTGAAATGTACTAATCTTGTAAACTACAATTTTTATTTGAGTAATTTTCTTAGATCTTATGAAGAAATTCACTCGAAAAGAAATTAGAAGTATGAGTAAAAAAAGAAATAATAAATTAAATCCGTACTCCCACAAACTAAGTAAGTTAGCGCTACCAAATTCTCTATACACTATGTATTTAACGAACGTATCGTAAAAAATCTATAAAATATTTCCGATTCTCATAATAGAAGTCGCGTATAGAAACGGTATAGGGTGTCGCAAGGGTCACTTCTCGGTACTTATTTGTTTCTAACAGTCAAGACACTCTTTCACCGAACAAAGTCTTTCGACATAGTTGCTAAAAGTTCCACACATCGAGTGCTTTTACACTCCACCGTTCGACCAGAATTTCAAGAGCCCCGATTTTAAACTGACGGCAATGTTTAACGCGATAATTGAAGGGTTAAGGGGGCCACGAGAATCGGTTCGTTAAGAATTGTTGGTGTCGTTAAGTATGTTTATGACTTTTGTGATTTGGGCTTGTCAAGATTATGAAGCAAAAGCGAGTTTATAAGTGCTTTAGAGTTGTACTGGATCTCGTTGTCGCTTTTTTGAACTTATTACATCTACGAAGGGATAAGATGATGAAGTTTCTTTTGATAACATTGAATATTCGTTCGTCGTAAAATCGAGTCGTTAATTTGAGATGAATTTCTGCAGATCAATCAGAAAGTGCCAATCGGTGATGGATTAATTTAAATGGCGTAAAAGCAGGATGATTTGTTATTTTATGATCAAACTTGACACCTATTAGACTTGGATTGAAATTAAAAATTTATCGGCACTTCGATGGTTGTTACTAACATATTATAGTATAGTTTTTTGCGATATAAACCAATTCTAGAGAATATATTGATAGAAAAAGAAACATTTTGCAAGCGGGAGAAAGTAATGAAAGAACAAAAAATAAAATGAGTTCTCCCTCTTTATTAATGTATATACAAAATTTCATTAAAATCTATTCAGTCGTTTTGGAGGCGTTCGCGTAAAATCACTAGCGTGCGATTTTTATATTTTATATTGCAATATTAAAAATTGCTAGCAATTTAGTAAACTACAGTAAAACTATAAAACATTGAAGTTATTTCCTATCTCAAGGATTCCCTCTTTCCTAAGTCTAGCGATTAAAGATTATTAACAAAAAGTTACATAATTTTAATCATTATTTTCTAAGTAAATCATAAGACATTTACTGTCAATAAGAAATTGTAAGTTGTGCTATATATATCGTGTTTTAAACCGTTAAAAGTGTTTTATTTAAATATAGAAAATAATTGTAAGCACTCATTTTTTTATTTCTTACTTAACATTTATGTACATTATTACACAGCCCGAAAGACAATGATATGCATTTATGTACATTGACTATGAAATAAATGTTTTCTTTTGTTTTAGAGCGTGAACCTCAAATCTTATGTTACTTAACATCGTGGTCTTCAAAGAGGCCAAGTGCTGGTCGCTTCATGCCCGACAACGTGGACCCAACTCTATGCACCCACGTTATCTATTCCTTCGCCACATTAAAGGACCATAAACTAGCAGAAGGAGATGAAAAGGACGCAGATATGTACGACAAAGTCGTTGCATTGAGAGAAAAGAATCCTAATTTGAAGGTATTTATACATAAAAAGTACCATCCAAAATATAACTAAAAACCCAATCATAAAACAAGTTGAAAGTACATTATAGTTAACGCTAGGATGTAAGTAAACCTATGATCGTCTTTACTTCTGTAACAAAAAAATAGCCACACACGTAAATATAATATTGCTCAAATACCAAATTGAATAAGGTTTAAGCTACTAAGTTGAAATAAAACACATTTAACGAGTTTAAAACACAAAATATATTAGTTAACTTATTTTAACTCTCACCTTGACCACACCTGCTGCAAAACATACAAAACGTGGGCTATGGTTAGAAGAACTTTACTTATATAATTTACGTTACAACCGTTAAAAGTGGTTTATTTATATATGTACTACACGCGCAAATTATAGAAAATACTTAATAATTCTTCGAGCAATCGAGGAGTTAACATCTCCTGATGATGCCGTCCACACGTGATGGCGAAACGTCGAGAACCTCTTCTCGCTCACATCGGCCGAACAGCCCAAAGACTGCTGTAGAAGCTGCGAAGACCGAATGATATGCTTTATAGAAAATACTTTAATACTATTAAATATACTAATTTATATATATAAGGTTATAATCAGTATTTATGGTAATAGTTGTCTAACTATGACCCGACAGTTTGGCTGTTCTTATAACCCCAAATTGCCACAAGACGTTTTTTAGAAGTATTTACTATTTTTACTTACTATGTATTTACTCTATCCTTTGATTGAACTTCTCCATCTTTTAATTATATGATTCACTCATTTATATGATCTCATCTAGATCTTACTTGCCATCGGAGGTTGGGCCTTTGGCTCCACGCCCTTCAAAGAGCTGACATCCAACGTGTTCAGAATGAACCAATTTGTCTACGAAGCAATCGAGTTCCTCAGGGACTACCAGTTTAATGGTCTGGATATCGACTGGGAATACCCGAGGTAATCTTGCGATATTCATCTTAAATTCTTCAAGTTACGTGATCAAATTACTAAAAATATAATATTAATTTATCGCACTTTCTCTTAATCTAATTATGTTTTGAATACGTAATATTTTTCAAGTTTTATTGCAAATGATGGAACTATATAAATAAAAAACGATTAAAAATTGAAAAAAAATACGACACAGGCAGGTCTTGAACCGGCATCTACAGCGTTTCGTGCTGTTGTTCTAACCAACGGACACGGTAGCTCAATTGGTAAAAGCAACAGCACGGAACCGTAGATGCCGAGTGTCAACCGTAGATGTTCAAGTCCTGTCCTTGTCGTAATTTTTTTCAATTTATATTCGAGTTTTAATTATATATATTGTTTTCTTTCAAATGTATTTATTGAGTTAGTACGTAAGTTAGACTCTTTCTTTTATATAATTTTTGTTTTGTTGTATGTGTTGTAAATAATGAAGATGATCGAAATTAGTGGAGCATTTTTCTTGCTTTAACTATTTCTTATAGGTTTAATGAACTTAAATTTTTTCAAAATTTTATATGATAAATATTTAATATGGATGGCTTTGTAGTTTTCTTATATATAATTTTCTTTCAAATTGGCAGAGGCGCGGACGACCGAGCAGCCTTCGTGTCTCTGCTGAAGGAATTGCGTCTAGCCTTCGAAGGTGAAGCGAAATCATCAGGCCAGCCTCGTCTTCTCCTAACCGCAGCTGTTCCAGCATCCTTCGAAGCTATAGCCGCTGGATATGATGTGCCCGAAATCTCTAAATATTTGGTAAGTGTAAAGCCTTATTGTGAGGCACATTGGGTATAGTTGTATTACATAGAGAGTGAAGTAGGTATAAGTTTTATAACCCAACAATAACCGGTAATAAAAAATACTCCTATTAAAAAATTGTGTACCTACTAAGTACAATCTTACTGTACTGTTTGTTAATTGTACTAAAAAAATGGTTTTATATAAAAATTTATGTCACGAAAAGTAGACATGATAAAGTTATAAGATTAATGAAAAGTCAAATTCACTTACCGAGAAGTTATGTCATAAGTTCCGTTACTAATCAATTTTCATGAAACATTGCCAACTTTTGATCGTACATGAGAAATTTCTTGTTTCCTGCAATAATGTTATGAAAATAATGTGGTAACAGAATTTGGAGTTGTAAAAATAAACGCCTACACAAAAAGTTTAGGCAATTCTCGTTTTATTTATAGTAGTATAGTAACAAAACTACATGAAACTTTTGTGTGCGAAATAACTGTCATATGATCATATGTATGTATTTGTATTAATAAAAGATACTTTTACCAGGACTTTATAAACGTGATGACCTATGACTTCCATGGTCAATGGGAAAGACAAGTTGGACACAACAGCCCGCTTTTCCCGCTAGAGAGCGCCACTAGTTACCAGAAGAAACTTACCGTGGTAAGTAATTTATATTTTTATCTGCTACCGTTGTGTGTAACTTGTGATTGAGGGCTGTGTACTTGAGGAAAGTAGCAGATTCAGTACGATTTGAGGTTTTTATGTTGATGACCATAAGAATTATATTAAGAAGTTTATTCTAGTTTTCAATAAACAGTTTCATAAAGTAATGCATTTAAATCCTTAAAGTATTTTATTTAAACAATTGTCAATTTTAAGGACTATTCGGCTCGCGAATGGGTGCGACAGGGTGCTCCTAAGGAGAAGCTGATGATCGGAATGCCGACTTACGGTAGATCGTTCACACTCATCAACGACACACAATTTGACATCGGTGCGCCCGCGTCTGGTGGAGGTAAGATTTCTAATTTAGAGAACTGAACTCATTTTTTGAGGGTGTATACATACCTATAGCTTTTATTAGTATGGTCACAAACCACCGTACACAGATGTCAAAGCCGTCCATTCCAAATATTCAGCTCGACAGCGCATCTAGCTTAATGTATAGCTAGGATATTTCACCTACCATCAAGCGAAAGCCACGCTTATTTGTCTTTCCCTATAACCAAAACAAATATTACTTGGAGACAATTATCATAATTTGTAATAACAATTGTATCGTAAACCATTATACATCTACCGAGTTCGTTGGTCTCCCGGTGTTAATGTGTGGCTAAAAACACCGGGTCATGGGTTCGAGACCCCGGTTGGTTCAACATGTTTCAAATTTAAATAAAACACTTTAACGGTTTAAAACGCGATATATTAGTTAAACTTATTTGAAAATGATTTTAACTTTGGCTCGACGTTTCGGATGCTTTGCAGCAGCCGTGGTCATGGGGAGACTAAAGATGGAGGATGTCTCTACGTCAAAGTAAAAATTGCTACGCTGGCGTCATCTGTTTCGCTGAAGATGGTATTTGGCGAAGTTAAAAATGATTTTCAAATAAGTTTAACTAATATACCACGTTTTAAACCGTTAGTGTTTTATTTAAATGTGTACTACTCGCGTAAAGTATAGACAGTATGTTTCAAATTCCTTTCGACATATAATACCACAACACGCAGATGAAGCTGTTAAGTTTTATCGGGTTTAGGTTACAATCAGACCTTCCTTTATATGACCTTCCGCCATGCTTATCTTTCTAAATTAATGAAAATCTTCCAGGTCAAGCGGGACGTTATACCAACGAGGCTGGATTTATGTCCTACTATGAAATTTGCGATTTCCTTCGAGAAGATAACACTACGCTAGTGTGGGACAATGAACAGATGGTACCATTCGCATACAGAGATGATCAATGGGTCGGGTTTGATGATGAAAGATCACTGAAGACTAAAGTGAGTATATTGATGATAATAATCTAATAACTAAATCCAGTTAGTTACCAACGACTCGGGGTGTTAGTCCTACATTCTCATATAGGATATAGGAATTAGCCAAGATATCATAGAGTAAAAGTTAAGCACCAAACCTTTATGGCTTGATTGTTGGAGTAAAGTATGTACTCGTAGTTTGTCTTAATAATATAAAATTACAAACCACTTTTTTAGGTCTTCTTTATTTGTTTGATCGCGCTAATCTCAGGAACTACTAGTTCAAATTCAATAAATAGTCTCAAAAAATGTCCACGACAATGTCTATTTTTTTCTCACAAGAACCGTTTTTTTTTTGTAATAAATCTAAATACTTAACAAGGTAAAATAACATTCGTTTGGTCAGCTAGTTCACTAATATTTTTATCGCGTCTAGATGGCTTGGCTCAAAGAAGAAGGTTTCGGCGGTATAATGGTGTGGTCTATAGACATGGATGACTTCCGAGGTTCATGCGGAACTGGAAAGTACCCTCTCATCACAGCCATGAAGCAGGAACTCGGCGATTACAAAGTCAGATTGGAGTATGATGGACCATACGAGACCGCGATAGGAAGTGGGCAGTACACTACTAAAAATCGTAAGACCTTTTACATTTAACAAATATATTTACAGAGGAAATATACCAATGAATGTTTTGATCACAGGCTATTATCCCAGCTATGACACGTATAGACATTTTAAATTCTTCACTTTGACGGTTAAAAACGCGATGAATATTTTGTTAAACTTCTTTGGAAATTGTATTAACTACCGCCCGACGTTTCCGAAGCTTTGCAGCAGCCGTTAAAATAGGTTTTCAAATAAGTTTAACTGAAATACATCGCGTTTTAAACCGTCAAAGTGTTTTATTTAAATGTGTACACATTTAACTACTCGCGTAAACTACAGAAACGTTTGGGTCTGGTCTTAATTATTGTTCGTTTACTTTAATAATTAATTCTGTTATTATCGTCTACAGCGAACGAAGTAACATGCGAAGAAGAAGATGGACACATCTCCTACCACCCAGACAAAGCGGACTGCACCATGTACTACATGTGCGAGGGTGAGAGGAAACATCACATGCCGTGCCCCACAAACCTCGTCTTCAACCCCAACGAGAACGTCTGTGATTGGCCTGAGAACGTCGAAGGTTGCGCGCACCACACGCAAGCGCCGGCGGCTAGACGGTAGACGCAACTGAAGATGTTACTGGGTTATTTTGCGATAATACTATATGTGGTGGTTCGGAGGTTTTGTAGAAAGTATTGAACAGCATCTGCTGAGTGCTATAAATTATGCGATCACTAAAAATAAGCACCAATGATAGTGACAGACCGTCAAGGTTTTTGGAATTATTGGAATTATTTGGATTGTTTCGCAATTAAACAAGAGATGGCGCTGTTAACAAAGATATGTCAAAAGACATGTAATAAGGTTATTGTTCTACACGTTTCGAAATATTTCATTATATTTAAAGATAAAGTAAGACAAAATTAGATATATATGGTTAACAATACATTTTTATAGTTTCGCTTGTTATAAAAAAAATACTTTCTTCAAAACCACCACCGCAATAAGTACTCCACCTAGACACGAAATATATTTATTAACAACAATGGGTCAATAGGCAGAAGGGTTTGTGTGATATAATGTAAATTTTTAACACAGTTTTATACCTATTTTTACGTATAATAAGACATTTAATGATTGTTTAGTAGAAACTATACAAAAATAAATATGATAGTATGTCTTTAGATTATGTTTTGTAAATTGTTTTAATTAGGTGATAAAAACTGCATTAAACAATTCGATACTCAGTTAAAATCTTGCTCTTAGACACAGCCTGATAAGAGCTAAAATATTTATGTACTTTAAACGTCAAATTCGTACTTTACTTTTATGTGCATTATTTTAGAAATAACACAAAGTGTATAAAATTTCCAAATTTTCTTTAAAAGGTAAGTAAAAGACAATGTTTTCAATATATTATAAGCGAAACTTTTTCTCTTCGAAAGCTTTATTAAAAACAAAATATATCGTTTTTGTATGAAACTAGAAAGGATTTAAATTCAAAATTGATTTATGTTCTTTTGGGAAAATAATATTTATTAGAGCTAAAATTATTAAGTTAAATTAAAATCGTTACTGGTTTCTCAATCGTGGTCCTATAATTAATCCTGTGAAAAGTATAAAAAACTCGGAGGCCCGGGGCCCCTAAATTTTGCTATTTATGTTTATTTTTCTTTCCGATTGAGGATTCAGCAAATGGTACCAATACTCGAATCAGCTACATCACTGCCTAAACCCCTAGCTTAATGTAACAGTGACGTGACATTACTTCTAAGTAGGCGAATAAACTAAGTTTTGTAAATATTGTATTTAGCTAATTAAGTTCATTTTAATATATAAATGAAAAAATTTTAGTGTTTTATTAAAAAAAAGTTAAGACAAATACTGCATATGTAATAATTAAAAAGATAGATAGATCATAGGTCAACCTTTTGTCAGTAATATGAATTGTTCATTGCTTTCAAGTTATTCTAAAACAATATTACATAAACTTATATAAAGCACTTTTAATACTGACAACATGAGCCAGTCCCTCTGTGACCACGGACTGCTGCAAAGCATCTGAAACGTCGGACCGTATTTAAAATAAGTTGTCTAATATATTACGTGTTTTAAACCGTTAAAAGTATTTTATTTAAAAATACAACAACGTGTAAATAAAATACTTTTAATTCCTTCAACATGGACCAGTCCCTCCGTGATCACGATTGTTGCAAAGGCATCGCCTAATTATGTCGGGTTTTAAACAGTTACATGTGATTTATTTAAAATTACAGTAAAATCTCAAGACATAGATATTTAAATAAAACACTTTAACGATTTAAAACGTGATATATTAGTTGAACTTATTTGAAAATTATTTTTAACTTCGGCCCGACGTTTCGGATGCTTTCCAGCAGCCATGATGACTAAGGCTGCTGTTAAAGTGGCGGCGTTAAAGTTTTTTATTTAAATGTGTACTACTCCCGTAAACTATAGGCAGTATTTAAGATATTGATAGTATTGTGGAGGCCCCAGATGGATTTAGGCTTAGCCCATCTGGAGCCTCCGTGGCAATCAGTCCATCCCTGTTTGCCGTAGTGCCACGACCAAATGGTGGATAATTTAGTGTCGGCGCGTGACCAGACCCAGACGAAACAGGTGCTTTGGATATCTTAATGCTTCGGAAATCAATCTATAACATTGTTGCAGTTATTAAGGGTAGAACACAACTCTCCTTTGCGAACCGCTCCGGGAAGCTACTGAATATGTCATATGTGTATATCATATAGTGCAATTAACTAGGACAGCCACTTGATCGGAGATATGTACTTAGTTTATTTAGCGAAACGTTCATGTATCAATAGGTTGAGAAAGTAAGTAAGTAAGTGTTTTCAATATATTTTCGATTTTTCATATATTCAGTTATAGTTAGACATAATATACTGTGAAGTGTATCGACATTTTTACCGATTTTGTCCTTGTGATATAAAAAGTGTCTTCTTCCTTGAATATTATGAATAAGAAACACAATCTGATTTTTCAGTCATAAATATGTACAGATCTCTTATTTGCCTTTCCGAAACTAATTAAAAGAGCGTAAACCGAAATAAAATGCCGCTTATCAAACAAGATCTTGTATAAAACTTCGAGGCAGTAAAATCCCTCAAGATATCTCATATTTCGTGAACGCTGTAAAAAGTTCCACCGACCCGCATATCTACAGACTGATTCAAACAGTTGCGACATATGATAATAAAATTTAAACAACTAAAATTATCGACAAATGTTGTACAGGTTGCGTCTTGCTAACCACGGTGAGGTTAATTTGTGTTACTTAGAAACGTTATTTCTCTCATGTATTTTTCGCGTTACCAAAATTTTCCAACTGATTTAATTAAACTGTGTCTATGCCCACAAATATTCAAAGGCCGGATTTTATTATCTAGCTTATTATGAATATTTTATTGGCAAAGTTAGCTCATTTAACATTACAACTTATTTATTAAACCGTTTTATTCAAAGAACTTGGCTACGCTATGTAAATTCGTTTGGGTCGGGTAAGAGGATTTTAAGCAATAATAATTCTATAGAAAGGGAATGTTTCGCTTAAACACTGGGAAATTAATATTTCATCGCAGATAAGAGACGACGAGATACTAAAATAATATTCATTGGAAGGGGTTCGACAGATCATAAAACATACTTACGAAAACTTGTCATCTTTAGGATAATATAGCATGAATTGTTGTATGTTTCTATTTACATATCGGAATAAAGCGTGTTGCCTGCCTTTTTTATGATAGTCAGGCATAGGATACAGATGTTGGAAGATAAAAACCCCAGACCTTTCGTAACAAAATGCGCTGTCGTCCTATTTTGGCTTTGTTAATCCACAGAATTAATAATACGCGATAAAATTCACGGTTTTTTCATCTGTTGAGTGTTGTTCGTGAGCCGAACGGGAGTTTTCAAATTTCTACAACTTAATCTCCAGATTTCTAAACGATGTCAAACAGGTTTCAGAAAAATTATAAATAGATTTAATACACATTATGATTGATTTTTACATGTTAGAAGAAAAATTGTTATGGTAAGGGAATATTGAAACTATATATATTATATAAATTATAAACGATTATTATATGTAAAACTCGATCATCTTAATAAAACACTTAACGATTTAAGATGATTATGCCTATAAATGTACTCGTTTATTTACAATATATTTTAACTGTGGCCCGACATTTTATGCTCTAAAAGTGTTTGCACAGACATTATCTACTTCAAAACAACCCATTGTGGGAAACACGATTATTAATTTACACCTTTGTGTAGCTCCCTAGCTAGCAGAGGTGCTAGAACTAGCTGACCCACACAGCTCGGAACTGTAAATCTTAGGCCGTAGCCCAGAATCTCAATGACAGTGTACGTAAGTGGTAGCAGGGCGAGCCGCTAATTCGAGCTAATGACACCAACATACCCTACTCACACACTAACCTAACTGGATTATGCATTGTTTAGTTCGCTCAACGTTCTGAGAATCTTGTGTTATCGATCGGGTTCGCTATTGATACCGTTTCGAATTAATTAAACAGGTCGGTGCTTAAATGAAAACGCGCTGTTTCAAAACATTGACTTAGTCGCTACATTGTTAGATCTTCATCATTGATAATGTCTACTTTTAGATTAATCCGAAAAAGTAGGTACTGTCGCGAGTCAGAATCACAAAAACTGTAAAAACAACAAATATTTGATTCCCTAGCTCCTTCAATAGATTTATGTTATTATTCAATTAATTAAATAATTTTACTATAAATTGACAGGCAACAATAGTGGCATAATATAATAACTTGTCCATAATATTATGTGTCACTCATTTTGTTCTCTAGTGCTAAAGATGAGTTTTACTGTACCCAAAATCAAAATAAACAGGTCTTTATAGGCTATAACCACGTTATTAAAAAGCGCATATACGGAAGCGCATGAAAAAGAGGTTGTGCGCAGGTTTTTCTTTACGTTACCGAGAATCTGTTATCGGGTGAATCTTGGAACGAGCTGAGGTTGTAAATAAAACATATTAGAACTAAAAAAGTATAACTTAATACACTCAAGTTTATAGGCAACAGCCTATACTGTACTTATAAAAATGATATACTGGTATAGCATTTCACTAAATATAGAAAAATCTTAAAACGTCCGATAACAAAATTCACAAATACAACAAAACCTTCTCCTTTTATGTAAATTAATACCAAATTTACATATTTATATATGTGTGCATATTTTTTATTAATTGTATCGTCTCTTGGTGAAATTTATATTCAAAGACTCAGTTTTCGCAAGTAAACAAAAGTATATATTTATATCAAAAAGTTTGCTTTAAGAAAAAGTACATAAATATAGATATTGTTAATTTCTTCTAAGCTCTGTACGCGAAAGTTAATTTATATGTAGACTAATGTAGACTGTTATAAATTATCTCTATCCCTAATTATAATAATATAACGTCTTCTATCAGCTGTGGTTAACTAATTCGCTGCAGATGCGGTTTGTTGAGGTTAAGCAATTATTAACGCGGTCGGTATGTAGATGACATGCCATTCACGCTAAGCATCTTCAATTTTGCATGATGGGTTAGT